ATATAATCTCTTAAATTTGGGTCAAGTAAACCATTCATTTTATCATCATATGCATTTCGGTTTTCACTAAACAATCAATAGTAAATTGACCATAACTTGCTCAGTAAAAATCCAATTGATAGAAGGATTGAATCGTTAGAAACTAGGCAGACAATACTTTAATTTGATATATTTTACGCTTAATTTAGATAATTGTAGCCCCACTGCCGAACCATTCATTTTATCATCACACACATTTTGGCTTCCACTAAATAGGCAATAGTAATTTGCTCAATAAAACTGTAACTGATGAGAGATTTGAATCTTTAAAAACTAGACAGATAGAACTTTAATTTCGTATATTATACACTTAATTTAGATAACTGTAGCCCCACTGCCGAACCATTCATTTTATGATCGCACACATTTTGGTTTCCCCTGTTTCTCGATTTCCATTGAACAATCAATAGTAAATTGGCCATAACTTACTCAATAAAAATTCAATTGATGAGCGGTTTGAATCTTTAAAAACTAAAAAGATAGAGCTTTAATTTGATATATTATACGATGAATTTGAATAACTATAGACTTGTGGCCGAACCATTTATTTTATCATCACACACATAAAATCAATTCAATTTTAGTGATGACAAAAGAAAACAAATATTGATATATAGTTTTAATTGTATTTGTTCTATCTTTTTTTGTTGATATTTTTTTATGTTACATAAATATATCGAAAACAGGTTATTGTTGGATATAACAAATTTTATTTGTATCACAAACATCATCTGATGTTTGTTGCCGAACCATATAGCTTTAGTAAACCATTTATAATATGTCAAACTATTATTATTATTCTTAAAGGAAAATAAATATTAATATGTAGTTTTAATTGTAATTGTTTTATCTCTTTTTGTTGATATCTTTTTATGTTACATACATATATCATGAAAAACTATTGTTGCTGAATATAATTAATTTCATTTATTTAACAAATATCAATTGATGTTTGATGCTAAACCATATAGTTTTAGTAAACCATTTATTTTATCATCACATACATTTAGGTTTTCACTGAATAATCAGTAGTAAATTGACCATAACTTGCTCAATAAAACTCCAATTGATTAAAGGTTTAAATCTTTAGAAACTAGACAGACAGGACTTTAATTTGATATATTATACGCTTAATTTAGATAATTGTAGCCCTACTATCGAACAATTATTTTTATCATCACATATATTTCGGTTTCCACTGAACAGTTAATAGTAAATTGATTATAACCTTCTCAATAAAAATCCAATTGATAAGAGGTTTGAATATTTAGAAACTAGATAGATAGGACTTTAATTTGATATATTATATGCTTAATTTTGATAACTTTAGCCTTACTTCCAAACCATTCATTTTATCATTACACACATTTCGGTTATCACTGAACAGTCAGTAGTAAATTGACCATAACTTGCTCAATAAAAATTTAATTGATGAGAGGTTTGAATATTTAGAAACTAGATAGATAGGGATTTAATTTGATATATTATAAGCTTAATTTAGATAATTATAGCCCCATTATCGAACCATTTTTTTTATTATCACACACATTTCAGTTTCCTCTATTTCTCGATTTCTACTTAACAGTCAATAGTAAATTAACCATAACTTGCTCAATAAAAATCCAATTGATGAACGGTTTGAATCTTTGGAAACTAGAAAGATAGGGATTTAATTTGATTTATTATATGATGAATTAGGATAACTATAGACCTGTTGCTGAGCCATTTATTTTATCATCACACACATAAAATAAATTCAATTTTAGTGATGACAAGGGAAAACGAATATTGATATGTAATTTTAATTGTATTTGTTTAATCTCTTTTTGTTGATTTTTGGATTGATTTTATTGTTTGATTTGTGAGTTTTACAATTACCGTCTTTCTTTAGGATGTTATCATCAAATGCTTTTTTTGCTCTAGGTGGTGGTCAATTCTAATTGCAGCAAATAAATTTGTATCACATGACATTTATCTTTATAGTTTCTCCAATGTTTCAATTAAGTTGCCTTTAGATTATACTGTTAGAGTTATTGTTGCTTTCTATGTGAGTTCTCTTCTCAACATTCTTAATTATTTTTAAATTTCTAAATTAATAATAATAATAAAAATAATTTATTTTCTCTTCTCAACAATCAAAATCAGTTTTTTTCCTTTGGCTGTGCAAGTCTCTTGCTTAAAAGTTTACATTTTTCAACAATGTTTTTCTTTTTCTGATTGATTTATAGACTTATTAATAATACCCAGTGGGTTATCCTACAATTTTTTTTTTTTTGCTTTTCCTGACAAAGTTTTAAACTTTGGTTGCAGATTTCAAATGGTGACATATTTGAGAAGAACCATGATGATATAGACTTTGAGTTCAATTTGTGAATATTTTATTTATTGATTTTATAATGATCAATTCAATATAAAATGAACTTCAATATAAAAAATATATATTCAAAACACAAAAAAACCAAAATAATGTAAAAAAAAATATATATATATATATATAATAAACATACCGACGCAACGTACCTTGAAAATGAATATAAGTTGTAAAAATTGCAGAAGATCAATATAAATTTTAAGTTTAAATAGTTAATCTTAATAATATTAGGATGATCTTAAATATCATATATGATTCACTACAAAATACTGACACCGCATATCAAAGACATGTCTACAAAAATAATATCACTTGTACAAGATGATGATTCTGATTAATTAGATCATATAATATTCATATGATATTCTTAAGTTAAATGAATGATTTAATGACATCTACCCATAATTGGTATTAATAATTATACAAGTATAATTATTAATTTATTTTAACACAATTTTGTATACATATAAAATTTATATTTATTTAAAAATTTATATAATTTAATAATTATCGTGTCTTAAACTAATTAATTTATTTTGTTAGAATAAATTTATTTCAAAAATATTAAATAAACATACTGGGAGGCGCGGGACATGTCTCGTTTCAATATCAAATATAAAAACATTAAATCAACAATCAAAATATCAAATAAATAGCATAAAACGTGAAACATATAAAATGAGAACATGTAATATAAGAATGAGTGGGACCCAGTTTAATAAACATTAAGTTAGAGATAGAGAAGATGTGGACTGTTAGGTGGGTCGGTGTTCTGTTGGCCGGGATGTGGGACCCATTGCATCACTTTCTTTTCTTATCAAAAATCAAATGCACCGTATTCAACACGTAAGTGTCCCTTCACTTCTTCTTTAACAGAATAAATCGACAAATATCACTTTTATTCTTAATGTTTTGGTTAATATTCTAACACTCCTTATATTTTTTTGAGAGGACCTGTTTTCTGTTTTTAAGGAGCAACCCTCTTTGAAAACTACATTCATATGGTTTTATTATTAAGATTTTAGTCACGATTTCTAAACAAAAATAACTCTATATCCATTTCAATGTTATATCTACACAAGTTTTGACGTACGAGTACAATCACCCTTAAAGTGCAAGAGTGATTCACTAGAGTTATTCTTATGTTTGAAAAAGGATTTATTGTATAAGTATTTTCTTTTGAGTTACAAAATGAAATTAAGAGTTGAAACGCAAGAGTTCATTATGATATAACACAGAAAAAACTCGTACATTTAAAGAGCGGATTAGCTCAATAATTGAAACATGATTCTAAACATATAAGATACAATTCTTAATTTTGAGTTGTATCATTATTTGTTTTCAAATTTTATTATAATATTTAAGTTTTTCTAATATTTAAAAATTGCTAAAATTATTTTTAAACATTTCAACCTGACACATTTTTCTTATATTTTCAATACCATTTTCTAAAATAAAAAGTTTATACTTTAAATTATAAACCAAATGAAAGTAACCTAACAAAAATATAATGAAAAGGGTGTTAATAATATATCTAATAGTATAGGGAGTTCATGGTAATTATAAAACTATAAGGGGATATCAAAAATTATCCTGGGAATAAATAACTCTTGTCCTTATTATGTAAGTGTACAAAACTGACACTCGTGGTCCAAGGCTCCATCAATTACATAATAATGTGAACAAAGGATGATAATATAATTTCACAATAATAAAAAGATGGCCCGCCAAAGGGAACCACATGGAAGCTACACTTATAAAAAACAAGTTACTGGACCAGCTTGTTCGCCAAGTTATCTTCAGCTTCCAATTTTGACTAGTCAAACCTCCTGAACCATGTAACCAATAACCACATCTCCCGCACCATTGATGACGTATATCCTCACATATTATTGCGTATAATATATTATAAATTTTTAAATTAATATTATTTTGTAACTATAGTCTATATATAGAGATAAATCTATATTCTTTTCCTTTGTTAATATGGGTTCATAAATTTTTGTTGATTTTAATATTTAAGTGTTATAAATTGAATAATAAGATCTCAACTTAATATAATTAATAATGTGACAATACCATAATATAACAAGTCTTATGATTAATATAAATTATAACAATAAACTTGTGAAAGTTTTGTGGAATGGTCAAGCCTATGGTTTACTCTTATAAAAATTGTGAGTCAAGTCTATGGTTTATTCTTATAAAAATCGTGAGTGGAACCATACATTTACGGTCAAGACTTTTGTGTCAATTATAAAATTAAAACCGTAAATTAACCTTATATTTTGTTTATATATTGGAATGTGAAGATAACAAAAAGACTTTAAACAACAATTTTCCTTTTCCAAGAAAATATTTTCACCAACATATTTCATACAAAAAGTGAATCGAGGCTTCTCTAGTTATGGCAAAGAGAGGCCACAAAGCAATCAAAAAATAAGTATCAGAGACTTCTATGCCCTACACTTTTGTGAATATACAAATCCAAATGAAGTAAAAATATACAACAACAAAGAAACTGAATATAAAAATTAATCAACAAATGAACCTGAACTTCTTGTTCTTTTTATTCTAATTAACCACTAACTCAATATAGCAATGACTCAAAGAACATGTCATCCCTTGGTTCATCCTTGGCTCTTGACATCAAATTGTCCGTGGCTTGTGCCTCATTCATGTAATTTCCGAAACCTGAAAATCCGAAGCCCCCGGGGGTTTGCAACATTTCCAGAGTGAAGGGTGCTTGGCCTTCTGAGGATGGTTGCCTCGAATTGCGAAGAGGATTGTTGATGGAGTTATTAGTGTGATGGTTCACAGTTGGAACCCTCATTGGCATGGCTGCATTGGTGTTATTGTTGTTGTTACTGTTGTCCGGCAACACCCGACTGCCGCTGCCACGAGCTGCCGGAACGTCGTGGTTGTGCTTCCCCTCATAGGTTGTGATCACTGCTCTGAGATCATGAGATGCTCTCTCAACATGCTTTCTCACAGGACACCCTGGATTTGTACACTTGTAGTAGCTCCTGAAAGTAAAATGATTTATTAGGCAACAAAACGAATCAGGACTGATGTGCTCTGAGCTCCACTATTTGAGGTGGATAAGAGATAAATCTAAAGAGTGTCCCGGGTGTTTCATTGAAATTCGAATAAAGAAAAGAGCTAAGTTCATAATTAAATTTGGTTTAAAAAGTGAATCCCAAAACTTGGGATGAAACAAGATGCAAAGTAGCTTTAAGTAACTGTTAAGAATAAAGCATTCCCTTTACAGGCAACTTTAAATATAATCCATTTTGTGAGATACATAAAGTAATGACATTTTATAAATAATGTCTTTCCTATGTATTGTATTCAAGCAATGAAAAAACATTATGTTATAAAATGGAAGTGAAATTTACCTTGGATTTGGATTCCCTTTAACAACTTTCTGTCCATATTTCCTCCATCTATATCCATCATCTAGAATATCAATGTCACTTGTTGTTTGAACCACAACTCTGGGCTCTCTCACTGTTCTACTTCCAGGAGCTGAAATGCCTTCATTTTCCACCTCAGTTTTCCTGAATATAAGTAAATGAAAATTAAGATTAATTATCATCTCAAACAAGTTCACCACATAATTAATTGTTTCTAAATTTACCATCTTTTGGCCTCAGGTTCATCATCTTCAAACTCATCTCCTCCAGATTTACTCTTCTGTGATCCCCGATCGAAATCGTCATCCCCGACCGATATTGAAGAATTCTCCGGGGTTGCGACAGAATCCATTTGTCCACTGCCGTGTGTGGCAAGTGATTGATCCGGGACTTCACCAGAAAGTTGAACTGCATTAGAACTAACCGATGAAGACGATGATCGCCTTGTCGATTGAGGCTTCAGATGATTGTGACTACCCTTGTAAACAATCTCAGTTATTTGTCCATCTAAAGATCTCTCAACCTTCTTCTTTGTTGGACAATTGGGGTAAGTACACTTGTAATAACTTCTTGGATTTTCACTTCCCTTCACTTGTTTTTGTCCATATTTTCTCCAATTATATCCATCATCAGATTTTCTACCCTCCCTAATGGACTGACCCGGCTGATGGTAGTTCCCATATTCTGATTGGAACCCATTATTGCTTTGGTTGCTGTTGGTTTGAAGAGTTGCAATCTCAGGGGAAAACCTCTGCATCGAAGACGCGTATTCGGATTTCACATCCTGCTTTGTTGATTCTTGGTAGCTCCATTGTTGTTGTTGCTGGGGCGGTGGTGGTGCCTGTGAAGAAAAGAACAAATTTAAGACCAACAAATTAAAAAAAAAGGGATAAGAGGAGAGAAAATTGAGTTAATTTACATACAGTTGTAACAGTGATGGTAGAAGATTGAAACATGGTTGAGTTGGGTTTTGTTTGTGTCTGGAAAGAGAAATCAGAGAAGTTTTGATCTTCTTTTTTGACATTTTGCTGATTGTTTCCAGAATTGGTCTTCCAATTGAAGGCTTGAGATGGAAATGTTCCTGTTGTTGGAGATGCCAAAATCTGTACACATAAACCAAAATATGCCAACAAAGTTAACAAATCATCACAAACTCCAATCAAACATACCCAACAAGAAAAAAAAATCAATAATTCACCAACAAAACAACACAGAAAACAGAATCTTATAATTAAACCATACATATTTATCAAGTCAACCAAGTCTTCCCCTAAGAAAGAGGCTCATTTCTTATAATTACATAAACTATTAAACTCAAAAAACCACACACAACTGAAACATATTCATATATAAAAATTGTTGGAAAAATAATTTGTAATCTTAGTCGAAAAAGAATTAGACTTTTAGGATAAAAGGAAATTTCTAGTTCTAGTTAATTTAGGAAAAATGATGTAATTAGAAAACTAAATCAGTAAGGTTTAAAAAAAAATGATGTAACACGGGTTTAGAACCCATAAATATCGAGTGATTCTCGAAGAATTAAAACACAAAAAAAATAATCAAAAGAAAATTAACAGAAGCTAGCTGTAAGGTTAGTAAAATCATCTTCTTCTGCAAAATTTTCAACTTACGTTAGATGTGTTTAACAAGACGGGGGAATCCAAGAGCTCAGCGGGGCTGAGGCCAGGAGGGATGGAGAAGTAAGAAGAGGGAGAGAAAATGGAAGGGGGGGAGATGGGCAGTGAAGGAGGTTGAATAGACTTGAATTTGGGGACACCGGAGCCATTTCTATCGGCTAAGCCACGAGTGTTACTGAGTTCATAATCGTTATCGTGATCGGTAGGATTTGGAAAGGCGAGAAGATCAGTAAAAGAAGTGGCGGACATGAAAGGATGTGTAGAGAAAGTAAAGTTGGAAGAATTGGCAATAGTATCTAAGCTACCAGAAGAAGACGCCATGAAAGGGGAGTCTTTATTACAGAGAGAGGAGGGGAGGGGGTTGAGTTTGTGCAGCGTTCAAATGAATATGAAGAAGACGAAAAGAAGTTGGTCACGTAATGAAGAAGATATAAATTTATTTGGTGAATTATTAAAATATCAAAAATTGGATTTAGGAGGGTTCTGGGAAGCTAAGTGAATGTTTGACCATTGAAAATTGGGGGGCTGTTTATGTGTTTAAAGAGTTGAGTTTGGGTCAAAGCTCGTGGGTTTGACTGGGTGGCGGCTGACCTCTCAATCTAAAACTTAGATATCTTTTTATTGGCACACGTAATACTTTCTATGAGATTATTATTAGGTGAAAAACAATTTCATCCCTATAGTTTGCTCAAAGTACCTTGTACTCCAGTAGAAGTTTTTAGAAAAGTTTTAGTCTCAGTAACGTTTTTGGTCCTTATCATTAACAAACCTCACTACCTCAGGGATGAAATTGTTACTTAAACCAAACCTAAGGGACCTACAGATCAGAAATCATACTAGTTTATAAGTTGTTTAGATAAACCACAGGGACGACATGGTTATTATCGTTTTGCTGCGCTGAGATTATGGACGGCTATTTTTTATTTTTTATAAAAACAGATGATTAGGTTAATTTTTTATTTCAGGAATTTGATTGAAATAATGTTAAAATTTTATATAATGTGTTTGATTTCTTGTTGATTGGTTATAAATTATTTATCCATCCTCATTATTATCATCTAAAAAATTTATGGTGATTGATGATAATATTATCTATGCTAGCACTATATTTTAATTTAATTTTTTTATGATACTTTAAGGGGTGTGTGTGTTTTTTTCTTAAAGTTATTTTATGTGTTCTGAAAATATTAAAAAAAAATAATTTGCTTAAAAAGAAAACGCGTTCAAAACGTTTACCAGAAAATAATATTTCGAAAATGTAAAAATGAAAACATTTTTTATATATGTAATCTAAAAATGATATTTTAAAAATTATAAATATATAATTTGAGAACAAGATTGATGAAGAAATATAGTCAAAATAAATGTTAATTTGATCTAAATAATGAGACAAAATATAATATAACGTAAATAGAATGAATAGAAAGTGATTAGATAAAGAAATAGATGTTAGATTTAGGCTTTGTGGAAATGATAAATGGTTGAGACGGAAAGTGGTAAAGACTAAAGAATCTAGAAGGTGGAGGAGACTATAACAAGTCATAACGTGTAATTAGGGGCTGTTTCTTATAGTCCACGCCATCCCACCCATTTCTTTTGGAAATTTAAAGTTTTGTTTTTAAGATGGGGACCCATGATTCTGATATTTACCCATTTATATAAATTAGTATTATTTTACTCAATAATCACTTTATATTAATATCAAACGTATAGTATATATATAAAATCAATTTTTTAATGTTTCTTTAGCACAACATTTATACATCATGTTTATCACTTAAAATTTCATAAATTTTGAACTCATTATAGAGTTAAATACATTAATCTCCTGAGATTTTAGGCGTTAAAATAAACAATATAAAGATAATTTGATTATACATATTTATTAATTATAATTTGTAAATTTTAACACTTCATTAATGATCTATAATGATAAGAATATTTTCTTTTATTTCAAACATTTTAGATTTTTATTATTACATCATATCTAGTAGGATTAATGTCATTACATTACAAAAATTGCCCTCCCTAAAAAAAATTGGAAAAGGCTATCAAAATCTAAGATAAATGTTGTTGATTTGTTGTATTGGTTTGGTTTATAGTGGCTACATGCCAAATATTTCGTAAATGATAAGTAGAAATAGAAGGTTCCAAAAAGGCTATATAGCTGTAACGCCACCTGTCTTCCTAATTAAATAGATCTTTTTACTTCTTACGCGGATAATGTTTATTTTTATTACTCGCGTGCGATCTTAACATAAAAATGAAACGCTGTTATACGATTTTTAAAAATTATACCTTTACATAAAAGAATCTCTTATGGGTGCGTCTAGATCGAGCCATGTAAGATAAAAGGATAATCTTTATTTATTTTACAAAATTCTAATATTTGATTTATAAGTGATAGTATATTATAGGTATCTTTTACTACAAATAATATTTACTATGGGCAATATAAGGATAATCCAATATACCTACCCGTGCAATTAAAAGATTATCAGGGAATATGATTTTTATACCTGTTTTATCTTTTGTTAAATATCATTTCGGACACAATTGTCTTCAAATGTCTACTAAATAATAATTATCCAACCCCCTTATATTTAAGAAATTAGTTAAAATACCCCAACCACAAAAAAGTTTAAAAATTAACAAAATATCCCCATGCATCCACGATCATCCCCGGCTGTTACTCGCCACTATTGACCGTTGACATTAGTTATCGTAATGGTGTACAACCAGCGGGATTTGGCCACTTGTGCATCGGTAAGGCCTTATCCATGGCTGAAAACGGCTAAATCTAATCGTTTCACGACCACATCTTTGGTCGTGAAATAGCCATGAATTAATTGACACACGATCGGTCATATACGGCCAGTCGTGTGCCATTCCGTCTACTGTTGGCAACGGCCAATAGTGGTGGTTGGCAGGGGCGGATCTAGCCCATTTTTGGCCCACCCTCAAATTTTTTTTAAAATATTAATATATATATAATTTTTGGATTTTGGTCCACACTAACAAAAATATTAATATGTAATTATTTTTTATTTTGGCCCACCCTAAAAAAATTTTCTGGATCCACCACTGGTGGTTGGTTACTGGCAATGACTTAAGATAGATGAGAGTGATTTTGCTATAAATTAAAGTTTTCTATAGTTGGGATGTTTTAGCAAAATAAATTTCCATGATGGAATTACAAAAAGTAAGTTTCATTATACAAATTTGACGTTTATAACTCTTTATGAGTTGCAGGAGTTTGTGTATTAATTGAAGATACAGTAAGAAAAGTGGTTAATAGAAAGAATCCTAAGCCAGAAATGAAGTTGGGTTTGGTCAAAGTAAAGAGACAATTGGAGTTGAATGGTTGAAGCCAATGATTGATGGGTTTGTATAAGATGAAACATATGCAATATCAGAAAAGGTCTTACTCGTCCTTACATATTCTTTCTTTAGTTGCTTCACATTTATATTTTTATTTTAGAGTTAAAAGTAATGTAACAACAAAATCCCTTTAAAATTTCTAAAATAACAAAATTTTCTTAATACTTAGTTAACTATTAGTAACCCATTAGAATTTATACTATTATGAATTAATAAATTTTTATCAAATTCTCTTCGTACTGTTTTATTTTAACATTCAAAACTTAACGATAGAATTTCTATTATTATAGAAACCTTAAAGAGATTTTTGTTACCCCAGAAACCTTTTATTATTTGGGTATTATGTTATTAACTCTTTATTTTATAATAAAACATCACAAATTTCAACTTCACACTTGCTGAATACGGCTTTCAAATTCAAGCAGCCCCGCTGAGATTGTACCAACTTGGTCACAAAAAGCAACAAACAAAAAGGTGTCTCCCATTTATTTAACTAATCTAAGCAGCCTCAACCAGTTTAGTTAAATAATCCAACCACCCACTTTTCCAAGACAATTTAAGCTTTTCAACAGATGAAGAATACACTCAATTGAAAATTTGAAGGTCTGAAGCAAGAAGAAAATAGTCCAACATTTTTCAAGCTTTATTTTTTATTTTTAATCTCTTGCTGAGTCTGTCAAAATTTGTTCCGTACATCACAACACTTAAAACATATTCTTCGACCTCTTAAAAAACACGAGAAAAGAAGAAACATCAAAACTCATACTAATCATTTTCAACCATTTGATTTCATTAGCACAGAATAATATTTCTTGTGCAATCATTTAAATCGGAATTATATGTTTTCGACTCTGCTAAGCATCAGGTAATAAAAGGATTACCGATTATCTATAGTCCATTCTGGGGCCAACAGTGCGAGGATTCCTTCAGTCTTAAGAGCAAACAAGGACTTCATACATGGAGTTTAAATATGATGATTAGATAATTAAGAAGCTTATCAGTAAGTGAAGATAGAAAAAAATCCGCAGATGCCAGAACAGCTAAGAATTATGATCTCTTAACAAGTGAAAGTTCTAATATAAACGATTACCAAGATATTCTTGAGCTGTGCTGAGAAGGCAATAAGGAAGCACCTAGAATGCTTTGTCTCTCCACTGAAACACACAACCATGGGCTTCCATGTAACCCAGGAATGATCTAGGAAGTAACGGTTTAAAGGATGCATGGAGCTTCACTTTATTCAACCCTCGACACGACAGCAGAGCAGCAGTCAGACCATTTGGTGTCAAGCCCATCAAATGCAATATAGTCATGTTCTGCAGGCGGTTGATGTTAGCCAGTGTTACGAGCCCAGTATCCGTTACTGAACAATACGACAAGTTTATCTGCAATAAAAGAAATGAATCACTATGGTCAGTTCTTTTGTCCGTTTTAATTATTGAATACATAAGATAAAGGGAATCGCAAACCTGTTTTAAGTTTTGGGAATATAGAGCAAGTGGAAGCATTGCATTATCATTAATGTTCAAGCACTTCTTGATGTCAAGCACTGTAAGTTGCCTGCATCCCATGGCAATGGATAATAGACCCACTGATGAGACATGAGTGCATCCCCGAATTTCAAGAACTCTTAAACTTGAACATTTAGACAATGACGTTAAAGAGGCATCTGTAATTCTGTCATTATAAGCTATATTGACCTCCTCAAGTGAAGAACAACCATGGGAAATGGCTGCTACACCCACATCGGTTATTCCTGTGGACCTATATAAAATAACAGCTATGAGATCATTTCCGAAAAGAAATACTATGCGGCATATGCAGTTATGGAGGAAATGCAGAAGAAAAGTGCCAAAACATTGCAATATGTAATATTAGCTAACTGTGCAGGAAAGAGTATAAAGGATACTAACCTGTACAAATCGAGCTCCTTGAGCATTGAACAACCTTTACCCACATGTGTGAGTCCATTATCAGTTATATTCGAGCAAATTCCTAGTTTTAAGTTCAAAAGTTTAGGACATCTTGAGATGGACTTCAAACCTGCAGAAATATTGTCAAAATTATTCACAGAATATCTAATTACAGCAGAGGAAAGGTAAAGACGAAGGTAAAACCTTCATCATCGACTTCATTATCTGTGACATCCAATTCCTCCAAATATCGGCAATGCTGTCCAATCAAAACAAAGGCTTCCTTTGAAACCGAGCTACAACACTCCATCCTCAGAGAAGTGAGTGAGGTGCAAGAATTTGTAATGCTATCAATAGAGACATATGTTATCTTACAGCAGCAGGTTATGTCTAACTTCTTCAATTCTTTATGTGATTGCACAACAAAAGAGAGCTGCTCATCAGTTAATCCTGAGCATGCTCTTAAACTCAATTCTGTGAGTGAAGCACACCAATTTCCGATGGCTGTTATCCCGGAACAAGTGACAGAACAACCATCAAACTTAACCGACTGCAATGCCGGGAAATTTTGCAGACATTTTGACAGATCAGCAGTGAACTGTATTATCATTAAAGATGCAAAAAATGAGATACAAATCACCTTGTAGTTAATAGGGAAGTGACTATAGAAGTCTCATACTTACTGCAAAGCTGTACGCTAAAGTAAGCTGCTGTAGGGAAACAGCACCGTTTGTCAGACAAGAAAAACCAACATGACTTATGTTTTGACAGTTAGACATATTCAGAACCTGTAAATTTTGAGAATTGAAAATTTTTTAGAACAAAAAGTGTCAATAGAATTTTAACTTGAAACAAGACCTAACTAATGATTCAATTTTTTGCTGTATGGACCATAATCAACAAAAATGAAAAGAAAGTATACCTTTAGGGGCTTGCAACTCTGTTCAAGTGTAGCAAGACCATCATCATCAATACCGTAGCATCCCTCAAGAATCAAATCTTCAAGATATTGTAGTTGCATGACTGACCGGAGACATTGCTCTGTGATCTACAATACAAAAGAAACTAAACTTTCAAGTTTCCATTTGATCAGGTGCCTACTAACAGGAAAGAGTAAAAAGAAGGTTAAATAATTAGTTGCTCAGCACACACTAAAATAACTTCAAAACATTGTTTTGTGAAGATAACAAATTAATCCAACACATTTATTATCAACTCCTCAATAGTCTTTAATCCCTATAACAACTATAAGAAATTCTCTTTCTAGCTTATCCTATAGTTGGACTTTATTCTTCGCTTCCGTATTGAAATGTGGTTGGCATTTGTTCCAATATGTAGATATCTTTCATAATCAAGGAACTTTTTGAATAACGATTTGTCAAGTCTATATCATTTCTTTTCCACACTAAATCATATTATATGATCATGACCTGACAACCAAAAATTGATGACTAAATTCAGAAAGAAAAAGATAAAAATCCTCTAATCGAAATAGCATAATGTCAAATGACATTAATGCTTGAAACTTCTAAAGAAATTACCCAGCAAAATCTACATTTCCAGGACTGCAATGATAACAAAGAAATTAATGCCATAATCAGCCCATATTGGATAAAAAGAATTAGATTAAGAAGTAAAATCTGTAAACAACAACAAGAAGTCCACATTACATATTAAAACAGTACAGAGCAAATTAAGTGAACCCGAAATCCAAAACTTGAATTCTACTTTTGACATTCCTGAATCTCAATCCCTGTTGAAACTTGACTTGCTCACTCAGTTTAGTTAGTCTAAAAGAAAATGAATCGTCGTGATAACAGATTGCAGAATATATCAATCAAATCGGCATAATTCATGAACATAAATGTCCTCACGGAAAAACGAGTTCAATTAATGCAAATAGAGTGATTAAGCAATCAATGAAACACCAAACACTTCAGCAAAATATTTCCTAATCAGCTCATTAGCTAGACATTACTGTGAATCAAAAAGCAATTAACACTAGACCAAAGGAATCAAAACAAGTACACTTTTCTCCTTTCTTTTCTCCCAACTTTCTCAGGCACCAAACAGAAAAAACAAAAACCAAAAACAAAATACATAAAAGACTAATTTAGTTACCGGCAAGTAAGAGAGATCCAAAGTCCTAATCTCTTTACACTTCAAAGCAACCAACCCCACCCCCAAATCACCAATACGCAAGCACCATTTCAAACAAAGTAACCTCAGCTTTCTACAACCAATGGCTATGCGTGCAATCCCCATATCTGTTATCAATTTACACCTCGCTAACCACAAGCTCTCCAAATTCTTAGCCTCCGCAATCGCTACAGCCGCTACATCTCCCATCTCTGACATATTTGACAAGTCTATCTCAACCAAATTCACACAATTTACACACAAACTAGACAACCCCACTTCACTAAACAACCTTGACCTCGAAAGGTTCACGCCCCACAAACTGGACTTCCATGTGGATGAGGATGAAACAATATTCAATGCATTATCATCAACTTGTGCACAGAGCGAGAGATCGAGTTGTGCAATGAAAGGGTAACGAAATGAGGTTCTTTCCAAGAGTTGTGTGCAGAAAGGCTTGAGGGTTCTCCGGTGACGAGACTCAATCAAGTAAAACGTTTTGCAAGTGAGAGAGAATGACTTTTTAGCAAAAGGGTGACTGTTAAGATGGTCAAGAATGGTGAAAATGATCTCTTCAGTGAGATCATTTCGGTTGGTTTTTTCATGGAGCTTAAGGAATCGGAATCATGAAATGAGTTTGAGTTATTAAATGAAGAATATGGAAAACTTTGTTTTGAGTAATGAGATTTGAAGATTCTGATAAATTGATGTAGCCGTTAACAGAAAACAGTGGGTGAGTTGGGGGAGTTCGTTGCGTTGAAATATGAGTAAAGGAGAAGAAGAAGGCTTATGTCAAATTAATCATGGTCCAGTCTGGTTCAGTCTCAGTTGCATCCTTCTCTTTTGTGTGACATGCAGTTAATCATGGTTCAAGAATTGCGTAGCAAGTTGGAGCAACTGGAGACGCTGTTATCCAGGTTGAGGTCCCTCAAAAATCCTAATGACCTTTGTAAAAAGGTAATTCCATGGAGGTAAGAGTTTAAGATTTTCGGGGAAGTCAGTAGCGATGAAGAGAACGAGGATAAGCTACAGAACTTCAATCAGGATGCAAACGTACTAGATTGACTAGAGGACGTCAAAAAGTTGCGTGAAACTGGTTTTTGTTTTACTTTTAAAAACGTAAGGAATAGACGGGCGTCCCATCCAANTTTTTCTTTTTTTTGGGTTACTTTTAGGATCGCTTGTAATTACGAGGATGTTTAATCCTATCCAACGAAATAAATGAGTTTAATACTAAGCGGAATAAACCCTAAAATAAAGCACTTTGAAAATTGGAGCCCAAATATCATAAATAGTAAGCCAAACATACCGTCTAAAAATAATGTTCTAAGAACATGAAGTGATATGGTTCATTGTTCCTGCAAAATTCAGAAGTTGACTGCAAAATGTATATAATTACTGAATTAGAGGTAAACTTCCACCAAACTTACAAAAAGGACAATAGATAAAGAGTAATGCTATCGACACTGAAATTTTATACCAAACTTTTGTATCGAAGGATATGACAACCAGTCAGATGTGATTACGTTAGAGTTTTTATGAATGAATGGTCGTCCAGCATTTATGAACGTCTATCGATATTTAATAGACTTTCGTTTATATTATATGGACGATGTTTATTTACCGTCATGGATGAGTGTATATTTACTATAGACGGACCTGTCTAAAAAATTTTAAAAACTTTTACTTTTTTTAAAATAAAAGTAGTGGAGGGCATCCCTCTTAGATGGATGCCCGTCCATTAGAGAGGGAAATGTTGACCAGCCAACTTGAAATGTTGATGTGGCTTGTGGGATATGAAGCTTATCCATTAGTTGTGAAGAAGGGTCTGATGTTACCATTGATGTTGTCAGATTTGTGAAGAAGAAGAAGATTACTTCTCTCCTTCCCGTGTCTTCTCATTTCAAGAAACAAAGCCAGCTCCTCGTCTCTTTCTTTCATCACCATCTCAGTTGTTTCCTTCTATTTTCTTCTTCTAAACTTCAATTTCTATTTACTTTCATCACCTCTGTTTGTGGATCTGGTTCTCCGATGGTGGTGGTGGTTGTAGCGGTGATTATTGCATCAGAAATAATATTCTACCATGGAAAGAAAAGTGAAGAACTAGGTGCCATGAAAATAAAGTAATGAAAATAAAGTAAAGAAACAGGTGCTATTAAATAGGGAAATAGGCGGAAGTCCATCTAAGAGGATGCCCATCTATTATATATATATTTTTTTAATTTAAACAATGGACGAGCATCCATCTAATAAGAATGTCAATCCATTCAGTAGGGATGTCCGTCCATAATATATGGACAGTTGTCCATGATTTTTGTTTTCAAATTTTTTTTAGATTAAATTATGGATGGACGTCCATTATAGGTGAACAACCGTCCATATAATATGAACGAGAGTCCATTTAAAATGAACGGTCTTTTAATAACAATAGACAGCCGTCCATCTTTTATTTGCAAAATATTTGTTAACGTAATACATGACTCGTCTGATTCAATAGATACGTCGTTCGGTGTCAAAATTCGATGCAAAATGTCGATGTCCGTGGCATTTTTCTAGATATAAATACCCCCAAAGCCATTTAAATCATCAAATTGACTGGAATGATATAACACAACCATAGAATTGCATTTGTAGAATGAACAATATTCTAATATTTGTCAATGCAGCAGCTGGTTTGTTACCTCCATGTAAAATCAAAAATCAAATGTATTGGAAAACCAACATCTACATAACTACAATGTTTAAAAACTCTAAAACAATTACATATCCTTGCTGAAACTAGGGAAGAAATAAAAGCAACAGTACAGAAAATAAACTCATCATTTCTTGGCAAAAGTGATAGCCATGGGATTCTGGGGGGTGATTTTGAAACCCTGAAGGGCCTGCATGGCCATGGAAGACTGAACATCATCTTCAAACTCTACAAAAGCGATACCTGGCTTCGCTTCAATCATTCGGACTTCTCTGAATCCTGGGTATTGCTGGAAGAGCATTTCAAGCATAGAGCCAGTGGTTTCGTGGGGCAAATTCTGTATGAAGAGTATATTGTTTGGTGCAACAGCTTCTTGTGAACCTGCATTTCTGAAGGACGCCTGCAAGTACACAAAATCTATCATAAGCAAACTGTTTAAGGAGCAAACTCAAGCATGCACACCTTCTCCTTTCAAAATCTGGATATTACAGTCACGGTTGATGTATTACTAGGTAGAAGTTGCAGGTGAAATCTATGGTCTATCATTCCTGTGCATGTCATCTAGAGCTTATTGGTACACTCAATGATGATCTTACAACTATCTTCTATAAACTCATTCCAGGCTCAGGCAAATGATACTCATGTGAGGTGATGTTTTAATCTTCAATAGAATTTTGAAAGTTACAGTATTCCACCACCCATCTCAGATCACAAGCACACAGAAGCATACACAGACGTACACCGGATATGAACAGTAGCATGAAAGTATAAAAATAATAGACTTACAGCTGGGCCACCATTACTTTCAACACCTGCACCATTAGCCATACCAGATTGCTGTGCTTCTTCAGTGCGTCTCTTTCGTTCAGCTGCAGATGCAAGTTAAATCAAGAAAGTTGCAAATAATACAAGCTGTCAAAACTGAAGATAAAAAATTACCAGATGTTTATCATTTTACTACAAGCTAGCGAGAGAACAAAGATATGTTTTGCCAGAATAAAGATATCAGTACAACACTTCTTTTTTTGAGGTACTTTTCAAAAATATAATTGTATTTTGTAAAATATGCAGCTCAAACACATTTTTGGAGCAAGCAGAGGTCCATGAATCATGATAAAAAATTTCTGCATGAAAAGGAATAATTGAATTGCCTTATAAGATAATGATGTCCTAACAAAAGAAAATCCAGTGAAGCCTCTTTCAATGCATATTGCCATATAATCAATTAGGCACTATGGCCGACCAAGCATTGTAACTTAACTAAATATCAGAAATCTGATAAGCCAGCAGTGCATAAAGTCTACACCCTTAANAAAGACAAACCTGCAGTATCATTAGAATCAAAGTCAAGAAAACCAAAGGAAGAGTTTTTGTGATGAAAAACCTTGGCTCCTTGAATCGCCACATTTGAGAAAACGGATAACAAGTACTTGTCATCCATCCATGGCTCCAAATCCCCAATCCATAAAGATTTTCTCGAATTCCCAGAAGGCTGGGAGCTGGTTGAGACAGTGTTTAATGTTTTGGCTTGGGTTGGGGGCAGCACGGTGTTATTTGGGTGTGAGGGGTTTGGTTTGGACATTTTGTCGAATAATTGGTGGCAGGAAAAAAAGGTGTGATTTTGGTGAGTTTAAGAGTTTGTAAGAGCGGGGATTTGTGAATTAGTGGTTGGGGTGAAGAGGTTTTGGTGTTTGAAAGTGGAATGTGGTCGGGAGGGCTAAAATGGAAGGGCTAGGTGTTGGGCGCGCTGGGGTGCTGGACGCGCGCGCTGCGCGCTTGGCATTGGTCGCGTGCGCTGCGCATTGGGCCGCTGGCCGTGCGCGCGCGTGACTACAAGGCTTGCTGTAGACTTTTGTCGAACACCTTGCGTGCATGATCAAAACTCGATCAGAATGCAACCAAATTTTCCACGAATCTACAAAATCAAAACCCAACAAGAAACCAAGAAGAAAAAACTGCAGAAAATCACAAAAAAATCACACCAAAACAGCTCCACGGAATGGCATAAAAACCCAACACAAACCACACATTCCCGCAAAAAAACAGTGGATTTTTCCAGCAACCAGAGGTCAACAAGGTGCAAAAAGATGTGGGGATTGTCGATCTTGCCCGGATGAGTCAGTATTGGCACTCCATTGCAATTCCCGATTGAAAAAACCCACTGCGAAGAAAATCCAGATGTGCAGTTTTCGTCAAATTTTACGGACAAATCCTGACAACCAGGACCTCCAAACTGGGCAGTGACGGAACACTAGAAAGTGGGTTGAACAAGCTTTCCAAAGATGGTTAGATCATCGGATTCCGATGCTGGACACGCCAGGAATAAGTCGGCAAAGTACCGGCAGCGGCCACGAGTTAAGAGAAAAAACACTTGAAAAAAATTCCAATTTTTTTCCCCTCCCTAAACCCCTCTAAACCCTAAACCCTCCCATTTCCGACCATCATTTAAAGGATCAGCATATGAGGCTTTAGTGGCCTTGAAACAAGAGGGGACAGTTACTGAATATAGGTAACAGTTCAAATCCAATGCAGCACCATTGAAGGACCTGGGTGATGATTTGCTCAAGGGAATTTTCGCGAATGGCTTAAAAGAAGATATAAAAGCTGAGCTTCGTTTGTCTCAGCCAACTACTTTATTTGGGCTGATGGATCAAGCCCACAGGATTGAGGAGAGGAATTGGGTATTGGATAAACAANCTGAGCTTCGTTTGTCTCAGCCAACTACTTTATTTGGGCTGATGGATCAAGCCCACAGGATTGAGGAGAGGAATTGGGTATTGGATAAACAAAGGCCCAAGCCATTTAGAAATCTAACGGGTTGTGGGGAGCCATATTCACAGGTCAGCCCAAACCCGGAACCCACACGCACTAATTGGTCGAATTTCAGCGCAAGACCACCAGATCCTTCTTCGTTTACGTCAAACTTCAACAAAGCCCCCGAACGAAGAGAGAAGACGATGGAGTCTGCGGGGTCCGTCAACCGAACTGACAACTTCTGGCGGCTTTCTGATGCTGAACTGTAGTATAAGCGAGAGCGTGGGCTCTGTTACTGCTGCGACGAGAAGCATGGGCCAAACCACCGGTGTAAAAACAAGACTCTGCAAGTGTTGTTACTCCTGGATAACGACGACACAAACCCACTGGAAATTGGAACAAAAACTGACGAAGAATCCAACGGTGAAGGTAAATCTCTAGCCCTTTCGATGAACTCCATTATGGGTATTTCTTCGGGAAAAACCTTGAAATTACAAGGGGAGATTGGGAATGAAAGGGTGGTGGTTTTGGTAGACAGTAAGGCCTCCCACAACTTTGTGTCCCATGAGGTCGTACAAAAGCTAGGGCTGAAGGTGGATGAAGGAAAGCCTTTTAGAGTAATGGTTGGGGATGGATGTACCATCCGGGGAAAAGGGATTTGTAAGGTAGTGAGGTTGAAACTTCAGGGAATTGAGATACAACAGGAGTTTTTCCGTTTTGAATTAGGAGGTGCAGACGTGGTTTTAGGGGTTACATGGCTGAGTAGCTTGGGGGATATGAGTGCCAATTGGCAGAGATTGACTATGGAATTTGACTGGGAAGGGAAGAGGGTGAAACTGCGAAGGGATCCCCTACTGGTAAAGACGGAGGTATCACTGAAGACTATGGTTAAGACTTTACAGGCTGCGGGAAATGGGTATGTGGTGGAATTTGGATCCATAGGGTTGAAAGAAGAGCCAATACATGAGGAAACTGACCCTGGAATATTTGAGTTAATAGACAGGTACCCACAACTGTTTGACCAGAATCCTAAATTACCACCACGTAGGACCCATGTCCATGCCATAAAACTTCAACCAGGTTCCAAACCACCCAATATCCGACCCTACAAATACCCGTATTTTCAGAAGAATGAAATCGAGAGGCTGGTTGGGGAAATGTTGTCTGTAGGGATTATCCAGCCTAGCGTTAGCCCATACGCCAGCCCTGTTCTATTGGTCAAAAAGAAGGATGGAAGTTGGCGATTCTGTGTGGATTACAGGGCATTAAACGATATTACCTTACCCGATAAATTCCCAATACCAACCATTGAAGAATTACTTGATTAATTAGCTGGGGCAGCAATTTTCACTAAACTGGACCTTAAGTCAGGGTATCATCAAATTAGGGTGCGAGAGGTTGATGTTCCCAAAACAACCTTTCGCACACATGAGGGGTATTACGAGTTCCTTGTGATGCCTTTTGGTCTCACTAATGCGCCCTCAACATTTCAAGCTTTAATGAACTCAGTATTTAGGCCAGTTCTCTGTAAATTTATCCTAGTCTTCTTTGATGATATCCTTGTGTATAGCCCCTGCCTAACCACACACATTCAGCACTTACAACTAACCTTTCAAATTTTGCAGGAACACAAACTGGTGGTTAACAAGAAAAAGTGCTCCTTTGGCCAATCTAAGCTGGAATATTTGGGTCACCTAGTCTCGGAACACGGAGTTGAGGCAGATCCGAAGAAGACTGAAGCTATGGTATCCTGGCCGTGACCTGTAAATGTGAAGGGATTGAGAGGTTTCCTTGGACTGACAGGTTATTATCGGAGATTCGTAAAAGGTTATGGTTCAATTGCACAGCCCTTACTCAGTTATTAAAGAAGGACTCTTTCACTTNGGATGATTTTGCTACAAATTAAAATTTTATATGTCTGGAGTGTTTTAGCAAAATTTCATATGTAGAGAGTTAAAAAAATTATTCAAAAAATAATAATAAATACTATTATATTAATATTTAAGAAGGAAGGCAATTTAGTAATCTATATAACATACTCACCCATTTATCCTTCCAACCAAATATATTATTCACCAATTTATTCGAACCAACCAAACACATTTTCTAAACATTCCCAATAATCTTCAAAGTAATTTTTCTTTCTGTTAATATAATATACCCTTGTAATAAAACATTATATAATTTAAACGCCCCCTTAAGGTGTGTTTTAGTTCAAAGAATGTTGTATTACTGGGAATATTATATTAATGGAAAGATAGATTACCTTAAAGATTACGAGGAATGTTTAAGGAAATATGTTTGATTAGTTGAAATAAATTTGTGAGTATATTATATTAATATATCTATTTGAGAAGAATAAATTAATAGGTATATTATATTAATTACTAAATTGCCCTCTTTTTTAAATATTAATATAATATTATTATAAATTTTTTAACCCCTTATATTTCAAATTTAGCTAAAACACCCCAACAACAAAAAAAAGTTTAAAACTTAACAAAAACACTCCCACCCACCCCAAGCCACTGCCGACAGCCTGCCACCACCGCTGGCAGCGACAACAGTGGAGATATGGCCATGAAAGGCTAGATCTTTGGTCTTGAACTAACCATCGTTTCATGGCCACATCTTTGGCCATGAAACGGCCACAGATCTGGCCATGAAAGGTCATATCTGTATGTTTTCGAAAACAGCCTTAGTAGCACACGACCGACCAAATCTGGTCAGTCATGCGCCATTCCGTCGCCGCAGATGATGATGGCCAGATCCAACCACCACCCTTGGGTAATTTTTTTTTAATTCCAAGGGTATTTATGTCCTAAAAAGTTTGTATATAAGGATAAAATAGTCCATTGGTATTTTTGTAAATTGTTTTTAAAACAAGAACATTATTATCCTAAAATTTTATTAATAAAGGGTAAAACTATAACAAAAATAAGATTACCAAATAGTTTTAAAATACTTAAGAAAATTGAGGTAATCAGATTACCTCTTATATTACTAACAATAATTACTATTGATATTAAAAGATTGTCAGAATCTTATATTATTTGACAACTAAACGTGGTAATCAAGTAATATAAAATAATATTACCTCAGTAATCTTATATTACCTCTAACCAAACACGCTCTTAAGGTTTCATTCAAATAACAACTTTTTCATTTTTTTCTTAAATATACCCTCAAAGTTTTAAAACTATATCATTGATACCCTTTTGCCCTAAACTCCATTATTTTGTTATTTGCAGTAAATGGGTGAAATAGAAACATTGGTCTTATAAGAAAGTATTGCGATAAAATTGTGACCTTACTTTTAAGAAAGTATTTTGTAAACCTACAAAAATTTAACAAAGGGCAAAGAGAGATCTAAAATAAAGTTTTTCAACTTTGAGAGTTCATTTGATAAGACAAAGGGACATCCATGATACAGTTTTGAAACTTTTAAGTCTATTTGCCAAAAAGTGAAAAAATCACCATCCGAATGATAAATTTAGAAACCTTAAGTCTACGATATTCTGCCATTTTTAATTTTGTTTTATATAAAAACTAAAATGTAATTTATTTCATTTAATTAAGGTCTAGCTCATACAAGTTCAAGGGTTTGAATAAGGCCATACTTGACACATTTCTTGAATAATCTGAAAACTTTGTGAAAAAAGCCCATTTACCAACTGTCCTCTTTGCACTTAAACCTTGAATGAGGGAATTAAAGGAAACTCATTTTCCAGTGGGTTTTCTTTTCTCATCATGAAGAGCTTTGTTCTAACATATACACACTAGACTCATTTCAAATATACTTCATCCTGCAATATCATTAGTAAGACT